AGGTATTTAAGTATGAGTTAAGGACCTAAATGTAGTAGCTCTCTCTGCCTGCATTCAACAGACATGGAGTCTGACTTTTCTGTAACTAAGTAGAGAGCAGTCTTTTCATCCTTCTTGCTTTTGGCTCTTTCAAGATTTGGTTTAGGTTTGGATATCTCTTTGTTACTACAAATTTCTCTTTACCATTACAGACATAATAGTATGTTTTTATTTATATTAATAAAAATATATAAAAATAATTTATATTAATACATAATAATGAACTGTTCTTCTAAAATTCTATGACRCTTTGAGAACCTCTCTTTTCTTTTGATCTCTCTGAGGATTATGAYTCATCCCACCTCCAACCTAGTGTCCTATCTGAATAGCTCATACCACCATGAATTGGCTACAGCAATGAAGAGATAAGCTGTTTTCCACTCTTTGTGTACCTTTGTGTACACAAAGGTACCTTCATGTACCTTTTGTTCATACATGCAATGGGAGTTCTGTCTTGTGTTTGTAGAAGACAAAAATAGGCTCCAAGGACACTATATAATAGTGCATATGGTGAAGATCAAGCTAGAAGGTATGAGTAAAATTATGTTTTTTTTTCTCTTTTTCCCAGCATACTAACTAGTATAGTTAGCTACACCACAGCATCAAAATTCATTTTATCTGATAACAGATGTTTCAGGTTCCTCTCTCCCAAAGTTAGAAAAGCCAGGAGAGAATAAGATTCTGCAAATCACTTCTAATCACTATTCTGCCCAGAGACTGCTAAACTACTTTGTACAGAAAAAGAGGAAGCCTCATAGATGGTCAGTTTACCACTCCTGTTCTGTCAGGAGCAATGGGACTGATTCTAAACAAGACACCTACTGTCTGACTTCCTTTGGGCCAGTGGTACGGAGTCAGCGACACTCAAGGAGCAAGTAGAGTTTGCCATAAGGCTAAGAYATTCACATTCATTCCTTCTGTCTCTCCTAGGAGCAGTCTCCATTTCTGCAGAGACAAGGGAAATGACAGTCATTTTCATTTTGTTAATAACTTGCATTAATAACACAGTATTGCTAGCTACTCTTTCACAACCAATAAGCCTTGTCAAGTGACATAAAACTGTGATGTGGTGTATACTTCATTCTGTTGCTTCAAAAGCTTCTCAGTTAACTTTCTCCCAGTTGTTATGTTGGACAAGCAGTCATCTGTATGCAATTTTTAACCTTTAGGAGGCTCAAGTCCTCAAAAATTGATCTTGCTGATTTCTAATGCTCTAACTTTTAGTGTATTTTGCATTTTAAGGTCTGCAGTTTGTTAATCACCAGCCATAACTGAAAGCTTGCATGACTGAAGAGCTATTGGCTGAAGAGCTGTGTCCCATTTACACATAATTCTGCCTATCCTCCTGCCAGAGGTTCTTGTAACTCTAGTTCTGTAGCCATAAAAAGTTGACTGGGCCTCCCTAGATGTTTTAGAGAAGATCAAATTATGGTGGTTTCCACTAAAATTGTATGTTCTTGTTATGTTTTGTCATTATACCAGACCCAATGGATGCCTTTTAAAAACAAATATTTGTCAAATACTGTCCTCCAGTTAGCTGCAGAAACTTCTCATTATAAATGAGAAGGGGAAGAAAGAAGCACTCATGCCTCTCCAAAGACGTACACCCAGTGCTACTGCAGACACAGGTGTGAGGGAGACTCTTGGGTAGTCAATTATTTTCTTCAAAGTTCATTATCTGTCTTTTTCTCATATTCCACAGCTGATTATGAAAGATTGGAAAAGTAATCCCACTAATAATTCTATTGATAAGATCAGCCCTCCATGTATTAAGAAAAAGAACACATTATGCTCAGTTTGAAAGGGGAGAAGAGATTGAGTGAATGGGAAAGATGTGCAAAACAGATAAGAGAAGAGCTCAGAAACAACTCAAGCTCTGCAGATGTGCTGCATCTGTTTGCTTGCCCACTGGGGACACTGAGATAAAGCGATTAAGGCATTTATACAGAGATGCTTAGACAACTAGATCAGATAAGTAAAATACAGCTAGGTTGACTTAAAGTCTATAATAAGACTGCAACAAAGGGGTGAATATAATTCATTGTCAATATATTAAACAGTGAAGGTAAATGCCATAAAATAGCTTATGGTCAAACATGGAGTGAAAACAGTGAAATTTTGTAAAGGATACACACAACCAAATGAAAATTTGGTTCACTTTCAAAAAAGATATAACTTCACTTAAAAAAAAACCCATAAAACTAGTATCCAGTTAAAAAGATAAAACTAGTATCAGCCTTTTCATAGTGAAGTAAAAAAAAAAAGGAAGTAAAAAATAAAACGTTGTTGGTTTAAATAAAATGCACCTTGACAGGAACTCTAAGAAGTAAAAATTAAAAGCAAAAATAATATAGTGAAATGTGCCTAGTCTTTAAAAATAACACTGTTCTATAAGCTTCATTAGAGTCAATAAAAGCCATAAAATCCAATTTTTATTACTTAAAAAATGGGTTTTTTTTTAACTTGATATCTACTTGTAAAAGCAAATAAGAATCAGTGAAAGTCACCTCTTCACAAGTAATTCCTCACAGTTGTCATAAATAACTATGGTATGTAAAAAATGCATTTATTAGCAAAAATGCTTCTGGCTTTAACATTCACTTTGGAAATATTGAGAAATGGAACCTTATGAGTTATTCATAAGACCAGAATTAATGCAGTCACTATTTCTGGGTTCTGATTAAATGCTGGCTTGTAACCTAGTAACACTGGAAATAATGACCAGATGATAATGTTCTGTGAATTGAGTCAATGAAGAGAAGCTTTGGTATGTCAAATTGCAATATTATTTGCCTAGCAGAAATATGCCCAGATAACCATCCAGAGTTGTGGAGACAATCTTCTTGTGCTCATATGGGATATTGTTCATATTCAGCCAATGCATGTTTCTAATGATGGAGTTATCCTCATTCGTTCACTATGACAGTTCAGACAGCTGCGAGAGGTCACAAAGAAAAAGAAATTTGCAATTTCAGATAAAAAAAATAAGAAGTGAAAGTGAGGGKTTTTTTCCAGCTCATCCTCACTGATATTAGCAGACAGAATTTATTAAGCATGACATTGACAGACTTCCATATAACATACAAGACCACAAAAGTGTATAAAAATGTGTCACTCATCACTGATAACTCATCTTGCTAGAGGGGTCAATAAAAAAGACAAGTAAACACACAGAAAAAAAACTCATGAGTATTGCCAAGATTTAAGACTAGAGTTGTGCAACGCTCACTCAGTCCAACAAATTAAACAAAATACCTAGGATAGGAAAAACAAATAAATATGGACAGAATGGCAAATTAGTAAAGAAGAACGCATAGACACCCATATATATTTTTGCACCAAACTCAGCTTCAGAGAGCATAAACCACCAAAATGGAATCACTGAAGCAGTGAAAAATCTCGGGAAGTGGCTACTAGACAACAATTACTCAGTTAACACGTAAGAAGGAAAAAATATATATATTCCTAATTACTTGTGGGAGTCAAAGCAAAGGAAGGCTGAGAAAGTATGGAAGGGCAGGCAGGCGTTAAATGTCAAGGCAGAAACTTGTCTGACACAGAAAATAAAAAATAAAATATAAAAAATAAAATAAATAGAGAGAGAAAAGAAAAACAAAAGGAAGAAACAGAAAGAGAGGGAAGAAAAGGAAAAAGAAGGGGGAACAGAGGGAAAAAGAATAAAAAGGAAAAATCTGTGTGTGGGTGGATTCAAACCAGCCTGACTCTCGAGGTGGCCGTTAGGAGCCTGCGGAGAAGCGCGCACTGGATGGGTAGAAGGCAGCAGCGCACGCAGACGAGGCTAATTCCAATTAGCGGCACCGCCGGAAGGCAGCGCTGCCCTAAGGGCTGCAGCTCCGCGCGGTTTGCGCGGGGCCAGGCGCGCAGCGGCGGCAGGGGCGGCTCCGCGGCGCGGCTGCGCGCAGGGGCCGGCGGGGGCGCGCGCAGCGGCGCGGAGCGGAGCGCGCTGCGGCTCACGATGGAAGCAGGATGGGAAGCGGGGGCGGATCGGGGAGCGCAGGGGCAAGTTGGGCTGCTCAGCGGCTGCCTCGGGGCTGCCGGGCCGGGCGTTTGCTGCCCGCTTGCGTGATTGCGGCTGCCGCGGGGCCGCGCGGAGCGCCCCGRGGCGGGAACCGAACCGAGCCGAACCGGGCGGTGTGGACAGCGGTGCGGGCAGCAGCAGCCCGGTGMTCCCGGCACCCCGGCTCCGAACGCGGCAGCATCAGGAGAAGGAGGTTCATCACCCCGGGAAGATAAAGCACAATCACGCGGGGAAAAAAAACCACACCACTGGAAAAAAAAAAAAAAAAAAAAAAAAAAAAAAAAAAACCCACCACTAAAACACTACACCTGCACCGCACGGGGAGTAAAGGGTAGATGCCGGGGGGCTGGGGGAAAGGATGCTTTCTGGCGAAAGCTGAGCTCTGTGTCTTGGGTTTCAGAGGGACAGAGATAAGGAGGGAGGCAGCGCTTCGCGTGAGGCAGAGCGCCCGCCGGGTCATCAGCCCCTCGTCAGCGTTCGCGCTGCGGGGCAGAGAAGTGGAGCGGAGGGAGGGAGAAGGGGGGGGGGGCGGCGGGGGGAGGTGGGGGTAGGATTCCTTGCGAGCTTAGGGGTAACGGTGAGCTCGGGCGGCCGTGGGGGAGCCAGGCAGTGTGAGCTCACACACAGATGCACGGATACACACACACGCATATATATACACACACACAGCGAGGCAGGCAGGGGTGGGTAGACCCCCGGGAGCAGCCGGAGGAGGCGCCTCGCTCCCCCCGGCGGGGAGGGGGCACGGCGGGGCCGGGGAGGGACTCGCGGGATCTGCTGGCGCTGCGCGGTGCGCGGAGGATGCCTTCACCTGAGCCTCTTCATCAGTGAGCGCGGAGAGCGGAGGAGAGGCGGTCGRGTCTGGAGAACTACCTCTGGATGGCTTAAAGAAAAAGAGAGGAGAAAAAAAAAATCCAAAAAACTCCGCAATCCTCTGCTCCCCACAGGCTGAGCACCACAAGGGACTGCTCTATTTGAGACTATCAGGAGGATGGTCGGGAGAGACTGAGTCGGGGCGAGGGAGAGCCTGTGCCACAGCAGCGGTAAGTGTCTGCCGTTCCCCTAGTCGGGCACTGATTTCCCWGGTTAGACTTTTGAGTGTGTGCAGAGGATGTGTTGGGTTTGTACGTCTCGGTGTCTCCGCAAGCAGCTGGCTGTGCAGCCAGCAATGAGGAGAGAGCCCGTCTCCTGGTTCCAGCTGCAGGTTTATATGTTTTGATTTCTTTTCTTCTTGTTGTTGTTTCTGAATTTTATACTGAAACTGTTGCCGTTGCAGAACAACAACAAAAAAAAGTTGGAACAGGAATTACTGTGATCTATTATATGCTTCCCCTCATTTAACTAGCCAGCAAACTACTGCTGTGAATGACTTGGAAAGAAAGATGTGAGGCTCTTAGAGCAAATATATACTCTAGAGGAAGAGTGCTTTTTCCTAATGTGCTAATTTTTATGTTTGGGAGAGCTAACAAGCTAAAGCTTGGGGGTAAAGTAGGAAATAATCTAGTGTATTGAGTTTACAGTGATGCACTAGAAGTTGTGTTGTTGTGAAGTTCAGAATGGTACTTGGCTATGGGATAAACAATTATTTGCTGAATTAGAAAAGTACTTTGTATGGAACATGTTCCTGCTGTTGACAGGCAAAGAAGTAAATGAAGTTACATGAAGATGCACTGATTTTTTCCTCCTCTGAAGTGAAGGCAGGGGATAAGAACACTGTGTGGAATGATTCTGAGCTGGCTAGAAGATGAACTGAGAATTATTCTTGGAACACAGAGTATAGTACTGTGTTTCTATGCTTTTTATCTCAGAAAAAAATCAGTATCCATTAGGCTGGCTTTACTTACTGAGATGTTTAGTTTCATTCCTCCTGAGCACTGAAACTTCCTAAAATATAAGTTATACAGTAAGATAGTGAATGTGACTGCCTAAAACTAGAGTTTTCTATTTGTTGTAACATTTTTAGAAATTTATTATAGCATGTTTTTCAGAGTTTGTTCACCTTTTTTTTTAAGTAATATTTTTCTGGAATGGCWTTTTTTTCCATATTACCCTTAACGAAGTAACTGATGACAAGAACTTATAAATAGTTACACTTTTCCCCTGGTCTTCAGTGAGCTTTGAATCAAGCCTTRAAGTTTCAAATGACAGATAAATTACATACTGACTGATAGCCAAAAGCAAAGGGGAATTCCTGACAATTAAAAYTTGGATGACATTTTCCAATTAATAAAGTGCGATTAATTATTGTTGCGCTATATAGTAGAACTCCTTCAGAAGTACTTCATGACAATCAATATTAGCGCTAAATCAGTTYATCATGATTAATATTATTGCAGGGAATACCAAAGGAATAAGGAATAATTGTGTCATTATTCTAAAGTGTTATCAAAATGTCTATCAGAATTTGTAAATATATTTCTTTTAGTGGATTATCTTTAATTATTATGTCATTTAACTTTCAAATAAAGAAAATAAAACCCTGTCAAACTAGAGTTTGGGAAAAAGTTGCTTACTAGTATGAGACGTACTGATGGGAAGATAGAAACTGAGGTGTGAACTATGGTAATTAAAGAGTATTTCACATACAATGGCCCTCTGTGACAATATGCCTTTAAATAYGTGAATGATTAAGAAATGTAGTTATGAGGGCAAAGTCTTAGAAGACTACAGCTATAAAGAAAGGAAAATGAARAGTAAAGCTTTATTGAAGTTGAACACTGTTAAATAGTTTAAAAAGTGGACTAATCAACTTGCAGTTCTATTCCATACTGTTGCAGAGCAAATATCCCTGCAAAAACTCCAGGCTAACAGTGTGTGACACAGAAGTGTGAAGATAGCTTCCAATAGTCTGCAGACTAAGAGTGTACATTGTAGTTCTGTTGTTCAATATAAAGCTGAAGGTCATATTTTGAATTCTAGGTTAAACTGTCAGGGGAAAGGATTTTAATTTTGTTCTATAACCAGGGCAGATGTACTAGGAATGAAAATAGAAAATGCCAAAAAAAAAAAAAGTTTCTTTTTGCCGAATTATAGCTGTGAACTTGTGGAATTATAGATGTGAATTTCAAAGAAAGTAACTTTGAARAGAAGATATTTAAGGGAAAATATGCTGGTATCTAACACCAAAGGGGATGATTAAAAACTGCTGTTAGGAAATAATAAATGGAACTTTAAGAAAKACTTAACTTACAGGATGCTCAGCACTGATTCAATAACGGAAGGTCATTGACTGGTAAAATTTGCCCAAGTACCCTGAATAAGTTCCTGACTGATTGGGGAATCAGTGTTACGATTTATAGGGGTTTCAGAAAATGTCTAGTTCTGTGCTTTGCAAAATATTGATTTGGAAAGTAAATTTTGGAAGGAAGATTGGCATGGATTCAAACCTAAAAAGGAACCAGAGGGTGTCAGTAAAGGTAAGGAGCTCTGGATGAGAAGAGGGGGTTAAAAGTATGATGTTTTAAGTGAGGTCCATTTCTCTCCTTATATTAAATTTGACATGTAAAAAAAAGTACATCTGATCTGACAGCAATATAGAAAAATCTGTTCATGTAAGCAAATTAAACACACAGAAAGTTTTATGCATAGGTTAAAGGTAGGAATAGTTGTTTTAAGTAACTAATGAAATTCTTTACAAAAGGCATGAGAGGAAAGTGTGTATTAAGAATATACATGGCAAAAGGCTCCAGCTGAGCCAGCAGAGGTGATTGGTTCAGTGACTTTGCAAAAAAAATGCTTCTTCTGAATGGTTTTGTCTTTTGACATGCAGCCTGCAACACAGATTTGGGTTCTTTTGAAATCACTGCCTAATCAGTCACTCTTGCTCTCCTCCCTCCATATGTTCCTGCTAACAGCTTGTATGTTACACTTTCTCTCATTTTCAGAAGCACCTCAGTCATTTGAACAATTTCTCATACCTTAAAATAATAAACTGAAATCTGCCATGGTCTACGCTGTGGTCTTATTTCCTGAGAAGTGTCAAGTACACATTTGGCTGCTAGTATTACGTTGTTTGGTAGGTGTTTTACATTTTTTTTCTTTCCTGCACACAGCTTCTATTTTTTTTTCTTTCCACTCTGTTACCAACTTATTWGCACTTCATAACAGAAAAATATTCTTGTCAGAAGTGAAGGAATCCCTACAGAGGTTAGTTTCTGAGCAAATGGGATCAATAACATCACATTATAGGCTGATACCTTTAAATATATATATATATATATCTCACCTATATTGTATATATGAAATTCTTAAAACTTTGTAAGCTTAATATATTCTGATATTATTTAAATTTAAGATTGCAAAGCCACATAATGCATGAGTGTATAAGGATATGTGTTTTTACACATGCATATACATACGCATTACATTAATGATTCCGTGTCTTTGCAAGCTAGGAGGGAAGCAATGATAAAATATTGTCTTGTTAGTGGAAGGAAATGTAATTTGTTTGTTTCTTTGTTTTTTAATGAGTTTTCTGGATGATTTATGAAAATATCCCAAAGTGTGTGAATCATAAACAACTGTGATCTTTGCTCATATGTTACTTCTTTCAAAGGAATTTCAGAATGATTTTTCATTGTACTTTCTAAAAGCTACAAATCAGATTTTAGGAGATGCAAATGGATGTAAAATACGGGAATGAAGTGTTAGGTTCTGAATGCAATGGGTATGACAACACAGTAGACATCAATCACATTATATCTGATATTCTTGACCACACTCGCCCAAACTTATTCTACATAGTCACCCCGAAGTCTAGCTTGTAAGCTTTTGGGATCAGGAGGGTGTCACTGTCATTGTCACCACTCTGTCTACTTCAGGACAAAACTTACACATCAGTCTTTCAAAAAAGAATAATTCTTCTCCATTCTATTCTTTGAAATAGAAAATGTATCAAACTTTTTCCATTCTTCAGRGACTCCTTTTAATTTTATATTTTCAGGACGCTCTTAAGGGTTTAATTGTAAATGGTGCTAAACCATAGTGATATCTTTAGAAAAATTTCTTCTGAAAGTAAAATTAGACTAACATTGAAGGCAGTTCATTATAGTTACTGACAGAAGTAAAGGGTGACAACCTCTCACGTAGCCTCCAAGAAGAGASACTTTAGCATCCTCTTGAGTGAGGTGTTTTAAAGTTACTAGTAACCAGAAGTTTAAGATTCACTACATGTCCAGTGGAAATGCTAGTCTGCAAATCATTTTGATGAAAACTAAGTGTACAACTCTGTAATTCACATAGATAACTCTCTTTTAGGTGTCTGTCGGTTCCAACGAATACATATTATATATTAGCTCATATTATTTTATTAGCTTTATAGTCTTTATTAAGTGCATGATGGATGTTTCCCTTGCAGATCTAACATGTACCTACATTTACATCAATATGTTCAGTCAAGACATCTGGATTCGACCGCGTCATTTGATAGACATGTGCAGGGGAATGAAAAAGACTTCCTGGCTTCCAGGTCACAAGTATCAGAATATGCTGATCAAACAGCATTATTTTCTYATAATATTATTTTGAGAAGGTATTTAAACACTACTCTCAAAGAATTGAATTTCTTGATTAGGTGTGAAAATGGGCCTGTCTGCAAGATGTGTTTCTACAAAATGTTGYGTAGTAATTGCAAAGAGATTAATGGAATTATCTTTTTTTTGCAAAAATGATTAACTGTCACATGTTTATGTATGTATGCATCTTCTTTGGACAGTCAGTCGTCCATTAGATGCTCTTTAGACTTTTATAGGCCATTTCCTTTCACTCAGATCAAGATCTCTGCATAAACCTGAATTTTAATTAATAGAACYATATGAAGACAAGGCAGCAAAATCACAGTTTATTTTTTATTATCTTGTCCTCAGAGGTGGTTCTCACTGAGAACATTTTCTAAAAGTCAAGTATCAATGAAAATGATGATCCTAAACATGCTGGAAAACTTTCGTGGCATTCAGCACAGTTGATTGAGCTGGATCATTCAGTTTTTTCATATTTATTTACTGTGATATAATCAAGATTATTCATGTTGTCGCTTATTTTTTTT